CAATGGCCTGTTCCCTTCTTGTACCCTCCTCTTGAGATTGAGAGGTGGAAAGGGAGGTTTCGGATCTCTTTTGAGAGGGGCTGCCACCAAGGCTGGCCAAAAGAAGACCAACAATTTTGACGCCTGCCGTGATATGAGTGGAAGGAGGCTTCGTCATGTGAATGCAGAGAAAAAACTTGAGGAATGGAAGGCTGAAGAAGAGGAGAGGAGGTTTGAGAAAATTGCAGAGGAGTTCTTGAAGAAGCAGTCGAATAGTTTGAAGAAGAAGAATGGCAAGGATGTGGATAATTATCTGGAGAAGTATAGGGAGGAAACTGCAAAGTCTATGGAAGAAGTAGATGAGGCTGTTAAGGCGTCGATTGATTTATGCAAGGGGGGAAAGCGTAGGGTTTTGCATGAACTAGAAGCAGGATCAAAAAAGCTAAAGCTCTGGTAAGATTTTGGAAACCCTACTCTCAGATTTACCATTGTTGATTTTTCAGATTTACCATTGTTGATTTTTGCAGAATTACTCCCCCCTTCTCGCTAAATTCTGTCTTGATTTAATTTTTCTTGTCCTGCTTTTATTTTCAATAAAGGCTTCTTCTAACAATCACACTTGGGGTTCAGTTATGTAGATATTATACATTGAGGACATGGTTTCTATGAGTCACCTCTTAAAAAATCTATTTTTGAGATGGATTTTTGGACCTAATTTTTAAGGACATGAGATCATGGATATGAATAAATAAATAAATTTTAAAAATTAAAAATAATAATTCTATTAAGAAAACATTTGAACCCTTAGTTTCAATTGTTTTTAGATGGACCACCAATTTCCATCCATCTTTAGGATGGATGCTTTATACCTCGGGACCATAAATATGGAAATGCAATCCCCTACGCATGAGACAATTTTCCATACATTAAACAACGTAGAGACTGAATTTTTCCCCACACATTCACAACTTAAACTTAGAGGGTGATGCACAAAAATTATTTGGGCCTGACCATGTCAAATGTTCAAAAATTATTTGATTCTGACCATGTCAAATGTTCAAAAATTATTTTGTTTTGACCATGTCAAATGTTTACTATATGTCAAATGTTCAAAAATTATTTGGTTCTGACCATGTCAAATGTTTACTATGATCATAGGATGCTTGAAGAAGAGGAAGAAGATGATGACGAGGATGACATGGATGGGAAGTCTGTAGTCGTTGATGAAGGATGTTCTACTCAAAGAGAGTCTTTCAATAAGGAAGAGTGTGCAAGTCACGATATTTCAGTTACCAGTGGTGCTTCTTGCTCATCATCCTATCGGTCCCTGAAGAATGACTCCTCGGATAGTGATTTGACAGAGAATGATTCACTCAATTCTCTTGAGGTTATATCTGAAGAGACAGAAGAAAACTCTGCCAAGGGTACTGATGAATGTCATGAGCTTAGTCTTTCAGGTAGTGTTGTTGCTGAGGGCTGTTTGGTTGGGGAAATTAATGCTCACAGGGAAGATAAATTTGAAGAAGCTTTGGAAGGAAATAAGGAAAATGGTTGTAATTTTGAAGAAGCCTTGGAAGGAAATAAGGAAAATGTTTGTAATGGGAGCACGAGTGCTCGTGGTTCAGAGATGCCTCTGAACTTTGACAATTTCAATGCACCTCCAGATATGGAGGTATGGATTCATAAGGAGCAGTCTATTTCATATGTTCTTTGACATCTTATTGTGTGTCAATTTATTTTGTTGTATGAATTCCAGTCCCCCCAAATGTGCCAATCTGAGATATGACATCTTTTTGAATTCTAATTCCAGTCCCCCCAAATGTGCCAATCTGAGAAATGACATCTTTTTGTATTCTTATGTTGGTATTTAGTAGTTACATCCTAATTTTTATTCTAATATTGGTTGTTATTTTAGATCTCTTCTTATGGGGATCTTATCTTGACAGTTGGAGGACTATTATTTCTAAATCAGGATATATAGAACACAATGTGTGCGGGTGCGTGCGCGCTTGTGTGCATACGTGTGTGTTTGTGTGCGTGCCTGCAGTTATGCGTTTCTCTGTACAACCCATAGTTGTTGGAAACGATTCTGAATTCATTTTAGGCAATTGTGATCAGCTAGAAGATTCTTATTTTTGGAATCAACATCTATACAAGAGGAATCGTGGAAACGAGATTTCTATTTTATAGGAATCGAAAATTGACCAAAATAGATTCGACAAAACATAGATGGAATTGAGATTCCTAGCTCTTTGGAATCGAGTTTCCGACCTATTTGGAATCGACCAATATGGAGTCGAGATTCTGTCATTTATGGAATTGAGATTCTGACATCTTTGGAATCGAGATTCCTAAGCATTTCAAATCAAGAATCATACCAGTTTGGAATCGAGATTCCTAAGCATTTCGAATCAAGAATCATACTAGTTTGGAATCGAGATTCGACCCAATATGGAATTGAGTTTCATAGCCATTTGGATTTGAGTTTTGATCCATCTCGTGATCGAGATTTGTAACCCCTTAAAATCATGCATCAAGTAGACATGGGGTTTAGCAGTTAATAGGGGATTATATATTGCATGAAATCTGGAGGACTACTAATTCTATATAAGGATATATGGAACACAATATTTGTCTGTGCGTGTATGTGCCGTGTATCCGTGACCATGTGTGTGGTTGCGTGCGTGTCTGTGTGCATGCCTGCATGTGCATGTTTCTCTGCATACCACCATTCCATGAGGAATTACATAAAAAATTGAACTTGTTTCTATCGTGTTTAAAGGGAAACTGCTAGTTTACCTCCTTTTCTTAGTTTCATTATGTCGTGCAAATGGTTGTTTATTAGCAGACCTGTTACATTTAATAACCGGTCAACAATAAAAGTCATTAAGAGGTGCATATTTTGTTCCTGCTTTTCTACTTATTTGCTAATCAATTTACTTTAACATTAGGGGGTTATCAAATGAGCAACATTTGGGTGATTAGTTTTGATCTTGGAGCCCCTGTTCAAGTGAATGTAGCTGGAAAACAAACTGACCTTGATATGGCATGAATCATCGATCTCGGGATTGTAATTTGAATCAGCTATCCGAGTTAATTTAGGAATTCAAAGGATTATATTCAGTACAATCTAATGATATTGATGCCTCTAATTGCATACCTTGAACATTATTTGTGATATTGATGCCTCTAATTGCATACCTTGAACATTATTTTACATGGTCGTTATTGTTTATGATAACTTTGGAGCAATTTAGCTGCTCTTTCAACCTAAGTCAATTTAGGAATGCAAAGGGTTATATTCAGTACAATCTAATGATATTAATGTCTTTAATTGCATGCCTTGAGCATTATTTTACATTTCGTGGGATTTAAGAGTTTTAGTCTTAGGATTTTAGGATTCGGATAGCTAAGTCAACTTCATAGCATTCATGTGACTGGAAAGAGGATTTGAATAAATATTTTTGGGAATTTAGGTAATATGGAGTATTTTGGCTATTTTGAGAAACACGAACGGGGTGTTTGGGATCGAGAATGTAGGCCAAGGGTGTTTATGGGATCTAAGTGTTTAGGGTAGATTGATTATTAAAAGTATGGGCTATAGGTATTTGGGTAACATGAGCAAAATTGGGACTTTTTTGACATTAAAAGAGCTATTTCCAATGAGGGAAGGTGGAGTCATC